CCCTCTGTTCCACAAAATTGTAATACCATCTCGTGTCCTTTGATCACAATGCTTCCCTAATGCGGTAGAAGATCCCGTCGCAGAATTTCCTCGCCATTTCAGAATTAACGAAGGACGTGTTGTAGGTGAGAGCGAGGATCAGGCGACTGCGGAAGGTGTGGAGCAGGATACTCCAGGTGCAGGGAACAGTATTCATGGCGACAGTTCGGATGACGTGAAGAGCCTGGAGGTTGTCGCCTCCTTCCGTCACCAGGTTGGTCACGTTGCCCATGTTGGTCAAACAAAACTCGTACTGGAAAGTGGGGTCGAAGTCTGTGTTTGCGGACATGAAGTGTCTCCCTGCTTCTTCGAGGAGAGGTCCGCCTTCGTTGAACTTCTTCTGAAGTTCCTGGTGAACGGACCGTGCGAAGTCCCAGAATTTTCCCGTGATGTTTCGCGGCGTCTTCGCGACCACGGGCATAAGAGGGAGGAGGTGGCAACCGAGGTACTGAGACGTATCGCCGGCCCAGTACCGACGGGCGTTGAGGACGTGGTCGCTGCGTATGTCGTACGTGTCTTGCTCGAGGCCTCCGTCCACCAGGAGGTCGACGACAGAGACGCTGGTAGCAGCTATAAAAGCCGAGTTGACGGTGACGCCTTCGGCTCGACAACGTTTGATAAAAGCGATCGTGGAATCAGCATCCAAGTCCATTTCCAACACCCCTGTCTTTGCTACTTTCTCCCCCACTCCCTTAAAAGTAGATTTGATTAATGAGTATTTTCCGTAGCGAGACTGAATCTCGTCCACCACCTTGCTCCTGAGTTCAGGGTCGGCCTCCAGGGACGCCACGTACTCCTTCTGCAGCTGCTGTGTCCTCTCGTCAGAAACGTAGACGCCCAGTTGTTCAGCGTCGTCGATGTCCTTCCTCCCGAGCACGGCTTCGAGGATCTGGACCAGAAACCCACATATCCTCATGTTGGAGTTCCCATCAGTGATGCCATGGTGAAGACCCAAGAACAAGGTGTACACGTGACAGAACTTCGTCATGTCAACCCCCTCTGGAACCACCGGGGAGGAAGGTGGCTCTGAGAGGAGCTTCACGCACCACAGAGGACCTTTCATCAGGTCGTAGCGGTAGGCCTGCAGACTCTCGCGTATGTCTTCTCTCGGGACATTCGAAACAACCTGAGAAGAAAACATTCGCATTGTTTTAATAAATTAACGACCGACATGCATTTTATTCTTTGAAATATTATTCTTTGAAATATATTCTGCGATCTTTGATGAGCATCCTAACCCTTATGTATTTAACTGCACACTTTAAACTATACTAATATCGAATAAATATGCATAGACTTTATTATGCATACATCTTGCCTTCCTAGACCAAGACTTCTTTTAAAAATCATGTGATCAGTCTCTATAAAACGTATAATATTACCCAGAGATAAATTGATTCAAATAACACATAACCTTCAAATATCAAGAATTATCTTTAATAATGATACATCATCATCGTAATGATAAAAAGTCACATGATAGAATGATTAAAATATCCACTCGATGTATGATTTAAGATATGTAAAGCTTCAGGCTTCTGTAGTGATTATATGATAAAAACAATAATAATAATAATAGTAATATAGTATAATAATATAATAATAATGATGATAAGAAATGATGATGATGATGACGAAATAATAATAATAATAATAATAATTATTATATATAATCAAGAGCTATGACCTGTATAGGTAAGATGGATATCATTAGGACAAAACAGTACAAGGAGAGTAAACAGAGAATGTTACAAGGTGTCAGATAAATTATAAAAAAATAACTCAAACACTCAATTCAGAGTGACTGGTGGAATCAAGGTTCAATCAGACCTTGTTTTCTGTACGGTGAGCCAAAAAAAAAAAGTCTTAAATGTCGAATCTAGTTTTTTTTTTTTTCATTTTTTCTTCAGATATAATCACAAGAGCGACATACCTCGAAATCTAACGCTTCTTCCGCCATCTCTCTGATCCACATTTCACCATCACGTTTGCCGAAACATACTCTCAGAAGAGGCACCTTTCTGTGAGGGGAAATATACCTTAAATAGCTAATATTAACCCAAAAAGACGCTAAGCCGAAATATATTTTAATAGCTGATAATAACCAAAACAAGACACTATAGTCTGTCAAGGAGAATGACTCGCTGATAAGTAAGATTACTGAACACACTGCGTTGAAATTGTTGCAAGTAACAATGACATACAAATACACTTACTATAACTGGTGGGATCTTGATTGCATTACTGATAACCAACATCGATTAATAACTTTTATGATTGATATTAATTAATATGTTTGCGAACCATGCTGTTCTTATCTTGGAGAACCATGAAGCAAAAATATTTATTTCTGAAATGTGAGTTTGAGTTTTATTATCGCACTGGGCACACTTTGACATTCTGAGAACCAAAAACACTTTTAAGCGGAAAGGGGGGACTCATTCAAGTGTGCAAGTATACAAGTGGAATATATCGGCCAGTTTGTTAAAATTGCGCGATGCCCGATCCAATTAATATTAATTTATACGAACATACCTAAACGCAGAAATAAATGCCTATCTAACAATCTGATAGATATAAAATGTCTATCCATATATCCGGTAAATATACATGTCTAGACTGATAGATATGTATTTATATCTATGTATATGCAAGTGATACATTTATCTATCCATCTACCCGGTAGATATAAACGTCTAGACTGATAGATATGTATTTATATCTATGTATATGCAAGTAATAAGCATATTTCTCTACAAAACACATCCCTTACGTCCAGATGGATATTGAACCAACTTTGACTTTGATATGCAAGTCCGTATATTGAATATTCATCGGCTGGGTACTCGTATAATTTCAACAAACCGGCCGTATAAGTAGACCGTATCCGAACCTGAAGAGATGGGTGAGGGCCTGGCGGAGGTGGTCCTCGAGCAGGGGTTCGCGGGTGGCGAGGGTGAGCTGGTAACTGATGGTGTAGGTCGCGTAAAAGTCCTCCGTCTGAGTCGTCCTCCACAGCCACTTTATTTCGTTGTCCATGATGCTCTCTCGTCGCCTTTGGAGAGGAAGAAGAAAATAACTTTTAAAGGTTTTTTGTACATACGTCATCGTCATCTCTTTCATTCTCTCTCTCATCTACACACATACACACATTATAATGTATGCGTGTGTGTGTGTATGTATATGTATGTATATATATATATTATGTTGTATATATATATATGTACATGATATATATATATATTACATATATACATATACATACATACATACATATATATATATATATATATATATATATATATGTATATGTACCATATGCATATATACATATATATATATATATATATATATATATATATGTGTATATTGTAATATATATGTAATATGTATATATATATATGTGTGTGTAGTGTGTGTGTGTTGTGTTGTGTATGTGCGTGTGTGTGTGTGTGTGTGTGGTGTGTGTGTTTTCAGTGTGTGTGCGTGTGTGTGTGTGTGTGTGGTTCCAGGTGTGTGTGGTGTGTGTGTGTGTTGTGTTTCAGCGTGTGTGCGCGTGTGCCCACCACTAACGATGTGTGTTCGCGGTGGGCACTGCCAGCAAAATTTACTCGTAGGAAAGTAATGTATTGGGAATCCGATCTCTCCTTCTGATAGCTATCGTATCTATTTGCCGAAAGCTCGTGCGAGTGAGTGCCATGGGCGGGGTGCCACTGACGTGATGGCATAACGGACGAATGTCAAGAGTATTGGAGTGGCAGAGGGATGGCAGGGGGCCGTGGCAGGGAGAGGGCAGGATGGCGCGAGGGAAGGCGTGGCAGGGGGATCGTTGGGTAGGGGAGGGGCAGGGGTGGGGGGAGGATGGGGTGATGGGAAAATGACATGCCACGCAACACCCAACAAGACACACAGACACATAAAAAGAATATGTATTTTTATATTTATATGCATATATATATACATACATATATATATATATATATAATATATATATTATATATATAATATACATATATATATATACTATATTAGTTGTGTGTTTGTGTGTGTACATGCACACACACACATAAATAATATATATATATATATATATGTATATTATATATAATTATAATTTGTAAAACGGAAAAAATGGGAATGTTCATTTTGAAAACGTGTGTGCGACCTCGGTTCTGTCTTCTTGTGTTTTCTCTCCTTTTTTTCTTTCTTTTTCGGTAGATAAATTCCACGAGTAATCATATTAAGTAATTGATTATCGGAAAAAGAATCGAATAGAATGTTCTTTTCTCCAGCAGTTGACGTAATCGATTATATTTTGTCGGTTACGAACCATCCCTAATGAGAGAGAGAGAGAGAGAGAGAGAGAGAGAGAGAGAGAGAGAGAGAGAAGAGAGAGAGAGAGAGAGAGAGAGAGAGAGAGAGAAGAGAGAGACGAGAAGAGAGGAGAGAGAGAGAGGAAGAGAGAGAAGTGTTTGCGTGTGTGGGTGTGTTTGTGTGGTGTGTGTGTGTGTGTGTGTGTGTGTGTGTGTGTGTGTGTGTGGTGTGTGTGTTTCAGTGTGTGTGCGTGTGTGTGTGTGTGTGTGGTGTTGTGTGTGTGTATGTGTGTGTGTGTGTGTTCAGTGTGTGTGCGTGTGTGTGTGGTGTGTGTGTGTGTTCAGTGTGTGTGCGTGTGGTGTGTGCGTGTGTGTGAGTGTGTGTGTGTGTGTGTGTGTGTGTGTGTGTGTGTGTGTGTGTGTGTGTGTGCTGTGTGTGTGTGTGTGTGTGTGTGTGTGTGTGTGACGTGGTGCGTGTGTGTGTTTTTCAGCGTGTGTGCGCGTGCCCACCACACGATGTGTGTTCGCGGGTGGGCACTTGCCAGCAAATTTACTCGTAGGAAAGTAATGTATTGGGAATCGATCTTCTCCTTCTGATAGCTATCGTAACTATTTGCCGAAATCCTCGTGCGAGTGAGTGCCATGGGC